ACTTCAGTCCAACCCACTGAGCCTCAGAGAGACGCCAGCAGCTCTGATTTCTCAAACACTATTGTGAATGTTCGAGCACTGTGTTACACTCAAACTTCACCTTCTTTCTGTGTTATTTTTGGGAAGCATCTTGATGTCTGAATTTTTAAGTGTCAGCTGTGCATGAACAAAGAGGAAGTGAAACCGTGTTAGCATAAACAATGAATCAAGAAACCCTTGTTATGATGTTACTTTTAATGGAGATCCTACAAAATCAGGTGTATTGTGTCCAAAACCATCCAAGTGTGAAGACTAGGACATACTAAAGCAAGCAAAATCACAACAAGAATAGCAGTGTGACTTTGTGTTTTTGCACATATATCATAGTAATAACATTTATTCTTTTATGTACATAAATACCATGGTATATGAATGAGGGAATCGTTCAGCAACTATATATCAGGGATACACAAACAATTTTATCAGCCAAACCTCTTTGACCTAAAATAATTACTTAAGTTACCTTGTGAGGTTTTTAGTTCATATTTTAGTAATTAAAGAACACATGCAGCTGCTGATTAATAGTCACATGACATGCAGGTAAACAAATCAAATATTTAATCTTTTTTAGTAAGTGTTTCATTTTGATTGTTTTTATTTTAAAATAAAATATTTTTATGCTTTATATTATTAAATTAAATAATTTAATTTACCTTAATTAAATGAAATAATTACATATTGAAATTCATAAACTTCTATTACTAATTACTATATTGTTAATTATTGGCTTTTCATCAACATAAACCCTATTTTGTGTCAGTTTCAAACTTTACAGACAGTATAGCCAATGAATAATAAATGTTTTTAGTTTGTGTGTTTGTGTGTGTGTGTGTGAATTTTGGGTAAATGTTGTGTAAAATAATTTATTTCAGAAATGTGTAAATCTCATCTGTTTTCAAAAAAAAAAAAAGCACAATGTAGGACTATATATTGGCTTTATATTGGCAAATGGCCACCTTCTTCCATCAATATTGGATATTTAAAGCCACTAGTACCACTACAGTAAAGCAACCTACATAGCCCTTAACAAGACACTGTCACATTTCCGTCACACAGAAGTCACATCCCACAGATGAACACGTTTAATATAATCAGGCACTTTGCAGCCGCACAAGAGTATGAGTGGATATGAATTGTGCTTGAGTTCCTGTGTGAAGCCAAAGTTATAACCTTCCCATTGATTCCCCAGAGGAGAACCAGCCACTCTCATTGAGAAGCCACTGCAGCGGAGCCCGAGCTCGCAGCTGGCCACACATTCACACCGCTCAAAGACTGCGATTCCTTCACAAACGCTTTCACTGAGCAAAGACGGACTGTATGTCAGCTGAGCAAAGCAAGCCACCTGCATACTAAGTAAAAAGATCCACGTCACGCAGCAAGATCAAGCACCTTTTGCTCAGAAGATTCCAAGCTTGTGATTGTCATGAAATTGGTTATTTTTTATTAAATATTTGGTTTACAGTGGGTTCAGTGATAGTGGTGAGTCAAACATTATTCATTTCATTTAAAACGATTAAAACCAATTTCTTGCAGCACACAATTTCATTTGATGCTATTCATCAGCACTCAGTCAACTGGTCTATCAAGCTCCTATTTAAAAGGCTTCATCTGAGACCAGCAGAACCAGTTCATTAAGACATTTATAAGAGAATTAGGCAGCTCTTAAAAGAAAAAGAAAAACATAAATAGAGAGCAGAGAGTCATGAAAAAGAGTCATCATGATCAGCAAAATTATTTCATATGGTTACAAATAAGTTTGATTGTATCTCAGACATAAGCTGAGCTACCATTCAAAGTTTGGGTGGGTGAGATTTTTTTTTTTTATGCTTTTGAAAGAAGTCTCTTATGCTCACCAAGGCTGCATTTTTTAAATACTGTACAAAAATACTGTAAAACAGTAATATTGTGAAATATTATTAGAATTTAAAAGAACTGTTTTCTATTTTAATATATTTTAAACTTTAATTTATTCCTATGATGCAAAGCTAAATTTTCAGCATCATTACTCCAGTCTTCAGTATATGATCCTTAAGAAATCATATAAATATGCTTATTTGGTGCTCAGTTATTAATATTGGTTCCTATCATTATCAATGTGTGTATGTATGTATGTATGTATGTATATATATATATATATGTATA